AGCGCTCCTCTCCATAGGGTTTATATATTAGAAAGAGGTGTGGAGTAGGGTAGAAGCCACTTATGTTGTAAAAAAAAAAAATTATCCTTAGTTGCTAGAATTTCCATTCCCATAGTCTTGTGTCTTCTAACCTCAGGAATGTGTCTTGATCGTTGACCTTGACTTAGAGCAGGAGGTAACAGAGAGCGGGGCTGGCCTGAGAAATGTGGTACTGCAGACTGAGTGCTGACCGAAAACTCATGAAAGGAAGGAGTAGGGAATTTGAGGGTCAGTTTCATAGGGGCTCCCCGTTGTTGTTAGGTGCCCTAGAGTTGGTTCAGACTCATAGCGACCCCGTGAGCCTACAATAGAATGACACACCGCCCAGTGTGCGTCATCTCACGCTGGGTATGTTTGAGCCCATTATTATAGCTACTGAGCCAATGTATCCTGTTGAGAACCTTCCTCTTTTTGACTGTCCCTCTACTTTGCCAAGCCAGTTATCTTTTTCCAGGGGCTGGTCTCTCCTGGAAACATGTCCAAAGTACATGAATTTCACCATCCTTGCCCCTAAGGAGCTTTCTGGCTGCACTTCTTCCAAGAGGGCTCCCAGAGGGTCATCCAATTGTGAGCCATCCGGAGTCATCCCAACATGGAATCTGCCTCAGCCTTCAGGTCCTCTGGATTTTGGATAAATGCCGCCTGTGGGGCAATCAGGCAAAGCCCCTCAAAGTGTCAGAAATAACTAGGCAATGGCCGCACAAAACTCTTACTTCCTGATATATTTTTTCTTGACTAGGCAAGTGACCTAAAGCTGAGGTTAATTTCTATTAAAGCATGTGTGTGTTTTACTGTCCACAGGATTTTCTGTTCTATCTGTAGATAGAGATGAGCTCTTTCTTCATTCACAGAGGTTAACAGGTCTCATTATTTCGGGAAGGAAATAATACTGACTTTAAATCCAGGTAAGAGACTTTTTTCTCCCCACTTCCTTTTGGATAGGAGCTGGTGATCTCATCCATAATAGACTTCCGGGTGAATATCTTCGAGGCAAGGATAGACAGCGAGCCATGATTGCAGCCGTTCGACATCACCTGAAGAACATTAATTGCCAACAGTTTGACACCTTGCTGGCAGCCTTCAGGCACTACGACAAGGCCAGTAGCTCTACTTTGGGGTGTATACGTATGTGATTATGGATTCCAGATGTTTAGTTTACATTGGGGGTGGGGAATTCCAGTCCCCCACTTCCCAGGCTTTGTAAAGAAAGTTTTGAGGGCACCCCACCCTACCCATCCATTTTATCCACCATCCACTGCTGCAGTTGCACTACAAAGGTAGAGTGGAGAGCTGCAAAGGACACTGTAATGGCCTGCAAAGTGACAGCCTTGACTGTTTGGGTCTGCATAGAAACTGTTTGCTGACCTCGGGTGTAGTTCAGTCGTTCTTGACATTGTGCTTCTTGTACCATCATCAGCATCTTTGGGGAACTTGGTATAAATGCAGTTTCTAAGGTCCACCCAAATCCAATCATGCCCTCCTGACCCATTGTGACTTAAGGCAAACCAATGTGTGACTGAATAGAATTGCTCTATAGTCTTGACTATAATCTTTACAGAAGCAATTTCCCAGGCCTTTCTTGTGGGGCAACTTCTGGGCTGTGTTGGCTGACTCAGTAAGCAAGGTCAATGTGTGCTTACTTGTGTTTACTTACTAATCTGGATCGAACAGTTGCACATATTTCTACCACATCAAAGATTCTTCCCATTAGGCATGGACTTGTTTCATGAAACCCATGTGAAATTGTTCACTGCTGAACTTTAAGCACAAGTAAGTCTGGGCTTACATAGTTTATTGAGTGATCAGCCCCTTCTGCTGGGTGGGTTCAAACTCCCAACTCTTAGTCAAACAGCTGGTTGAAAACTGCTCACAGTGCCCTGACCTACTGAATTTACTGAATTTGGATGTCTAGGGTGGGGCCCAGCAACAGTGTTTATCCAGCCTGGCCGGTGATTCTGATGTCGTCTCAAGCTTGAGAACCACTTTTGTTGACTTGCCGAGTGTGCTAGGAGCAAGCAGAAAGCGCTGTGAAACCTTGGGGAAGGCCCGGGTTCACGCCTGCATCTGAACAGCAGGCTTGGTACCTCTGACATAGGTTTGGGGGGTGGGATGTGGTCTCAATTTTGAGAGATGTTTTTATCCGATTTTCAAGCAGCTCTAAATTGTATCTTTTGCTGAATTCCATTTGTTCTAGGTCTGTATAATGACCTCCCATTACGGCCTTTTGAGTCAACATAGGGTTATTTTTAACAAAGCTGCACTGCCTTGAGCTTCCACTGAGGAACACTGTAAACAATTGCTCTGTGAAATGTATATTTTGGTCAATGTGCTGTGTTGTTGTTTGTCATGTGAACCCTTTTATTGCAATATTCAGTCTTTTTAAAAAAAATCATTTTATTGGGGCTCATACCGCTC